CAAACCCGGGAGCGGCCCACCCTCGCCGCCCAGCACCACGTGGTCTTGGGAGCACGAACACAGGTTCTGGGGTTCTCCGGGAGGCGCCCTGGGCACCATCTCCGCAGCTCCCGAGGGCCCCGCGGGGTCCGTGCTGGTCTGCGGAGGGAAGGGGCGTGTTTGAGTTGGGGATCCCCTGCCTGGAGGCTGCTTGAGCCCCAGACACCCACTTGCCCTGACAGGCACCACCCCCGCCCCGTTCAGGTGCTGCGGGGAGCCCCCCAGGACCAGAAGCTCTGTGTGGCCATCGCTCTGCAGGCCGCCCTCCTGCCCCGCGAAGCTGGCCGGGCCCTGTGCCCACCCCGCGGGCCTCACCTCCTGAGCCGGCTGCTCCTCCCCCTCCTCCATGGCTGCAGGAGGCGCTGCACCAACCAGGGAGCCTGAGGAGACAGGTCCGTCCTCACCGGGAGCCCAGGCCGTGCAGGGGGCTCGGTGGGGAGAAGGGGGCTCGGTCAGGAGATGGGGTCTGGTTGGTCGTCTTGATGGGCCCTGGGTGGGACCGACACCACCGGCCACCAGGGTCCCTGGCCGGGCGCAGCAGGTGCGAGACTCTGCCATGAGCGAAAGGGCAGCCCGGCCGCCCGGGGCCTGGCCAGGGAGCCGGGTCCTGTGCCAGCGGGGCTGCTGCCCCCACCTCCTGCTGACCCAGGCGGACCAGGTTCCGTCTGACTTTGGAACGAAGCGCAAGTGGCGGCAGTGAGCCTGTGTGTCACATTAATGCTGGACCCGGGGCTGTCTCAGCATCTGTGGGCGCAGAGCGTGGCTGCTGTCCACGGAGTCAGCCACGTGCACAGATGTCAGCGCAGACGGGGGAGGCGCAGGCGCAGCACCTGGCCATGGGCCGTCCGATCCCTGCGCCTCCCACCGGCACCGGCTGGACCGGGCCCTGCTGCCCCAGGACAGGCTGCCACACAGACCCAGAAAGGCGAGAACCTGACCAGGCCCCTGAGGCCCTGCAGACATCGGGCCATGTCTGGGCTGCACGGAAGGGACGTGGCTTGGCTGTAGCCGCAGCTGGCAGCGTGGGGTTCACAGCCTGTCGGCCGGACGTGGCCCCACAGGGGCGCCTCGGGCTCGGATGGGCTTCAGCAGCAGCGGCCGCTGGGGGACACACAGACAGACCCCAGAGGCTGCAGGACGGGCCAGGGTTCACTATTTTTTTAAGTTTTAAAATGTATTGACTGATTTCAGAGTGAGGGAGAGAAGTATCAACTTGCTTCCACACTTAGTGATGCATTCACTGGCTGACTCTTGTATGTGCCCTGGCCAAGGATCGAACCCGCAACCTTGGCGTATCAGGATGATGCTCTAACCAACCGAGTGAGCCGGCCAGGGCTCAGGTTCACTACAGACCTTTCGTGACAAAAAGGAAAAACAGCCCTGACTGGTGTGGCTCAATGGATAGCGCGCCGGCCTGTGGACTGAGGGGTCCCAGGTCCGATTCCGGTCAAGAGCATGTTTGCGAACACGTCCCCGGTGGGGAGTGTGCAGGAGGCAGCTGATCGGTGTTTCTAACTCTCTATCCCTCTCCCTTCCTCTCTGCAAAAAATCAATAAAATATATTTAAAAAAAAAAGGAAAAACAGCCCAGCCGGCCAGCGTGGCTCAGTGGTTGAGATCGACCTGTGACCCAGGAGGTCATGGTTCGATTCCCGGTCATGCCCAGGTGGCCCCGGTGTGGGGCGTGGGGGAGGCAGCCCATCAGCTGATCGATGATTCTCTCTCATCACTGATGTTTCTCTCTCTCTCTCTCCTTCTCCCTTCCTCTCTGAAATCAATAAAAAAATATTTTTTAAAAAAGAAAAACAGAGTAGACCAAGCATGACACCACGTCAGGCTTTGTCCCTGGCCTCACTGCTGACCTGGCACCTGGCCCCTCTGAGCTTCCGCCTCCTCCCTGCAGCGGGAGGCACTGCCTGGGCAGGAGGCGCAGCCGGGGCAGGGCTGCCTCCTGGTGTCACGGCCGGGCCTGCTGTCCAGGACACGCAGAGGGGCCTGGGCTGACCCAGAGGGGGCGTCCCGTCCCGAGGATGAGTAGGGCCAGGAAGAGGAACAACGGGCAGCCAGCGAGGAGGGTGGGAGTCAGACCCTGCGGGACAGGGAGGGGAGCCCGCGTCTGGCCTGGCCTCCTGCGGGGTGTCCCCCGCCCGGAAGGAGCAGCAGCACCGCGGGCACCTGGCCAAGGACAGTGGCTCACCTGGGCCTCGCCCCTCCCAGCACCTCCTTCCAGCTTCACAGAGCAAAGCTCTGCCTGACGCAGGCACCGCCCGGAACAGAAACAGGAAGCTGGGCCTGCGGGCGCGATCACAGCTAGGGGCCTCCCCTCTCGGGCCCCTGGGTAGCCAGCAAGGAGGGTGGCGGTCAGAGCCTGGAGGGAGGCAGCCCATCCTCACTTCCCAGCAGCACAAGGAAAACCCACTGTGCTCACAGCCACCGCACGGGAGGCCACCACTGCCTCCCCCTTCCCTCCCAGCCTTGGGTGGTCACGGGGCTGGGCCGGCCTCTGCCCTCACCTACCTTGCCCTCAGCCTGGCCAGACCGCCCCTCTGACACCCAGGAGGAAGCCAGTGCCCGTGGGGGCCACGCCTGGAGTCCCGTGATGGCTGGGCCCCCCTTTCCCACTGAGCCCCATCCCAGTCCCGGCAGGCACCTCTCTGGCCTCATCACATCCAGGCGCCAACTTCTAACACTGTCTGGGTCCCTCACCTGGGCAGGGCCTTGGCGATACCCCCGCAGGACGTGACGTGATGGGCTTTAGCCCTCCTCCCCTCTCCCTGGTCACCGTCATGCGTCTTCCAATCTGTATGGCTGGACCCTGGAGGGAGCACAGGGCCTCGCCCCACGGATCACCGGCCCAGCCTCCTCCCTGCACCCACGGCGGCTGCTGGGGAGGCATCTGTGTCCTTCCCAGTTTCCTGCCATGAAATCTCTGGACTGATGGGTCCCACCACTGCAGGCTGCAGGGACCGGCGGACACTGGCTGACACCCTCCCAAATCCAGGCCCCAGAGCCGCCCCTTCCAGCAGGAGCCTCTGCCCGTCCTGTCCTCACTCCGGTCCACGGAGCGCGGCCTGGGGTGGGCGCTGGCACAGCTGTCGGAGGTGCCGCTGAGCAAGGCTGCCCACGCCAGTCTGTCTGGCAAACAGGTGGGCTCGTCGGCCACCTGCCAGCAATTGCGATTCGGGCGACGGTCACCTGGTTGGCCAGATCGGACCAGCCTCAGCGCTGTGTGGCCCTGGGCCGGACGCTTGTACCAGCTAGGACTCTGAGCGCCTGCCGCCCAGCCGTCCACACACAGTAGGGCCTCTCCAGGCTGCAAAACGCGTGGCTCACATGCTCCTTGGCCCATGAACACTGGGCCTCTCGGCTGCCCTCTGCGGGCAGACCCCGCGGGCAGACCCCGCAGGCAGGAGGCGAACGCTGCAGCGAGGCCGTCCAGGCTGGAGGGACAGCACCACTATTTGGGGAATCGCCGCACTTCCCAGACCTCCAGGAAAACAAACTCCCACGTGTGGGAAGTCCTGACAACCGAGAGGCCTGTCCTGTCAGTAGCCGTAGGAGGGGCCGTGCGGCTCAGTGGTGAGCGTCGACCTAGGAACCAGGAGGTCACAGCTCGGTTCCGGGTCGGGGCACAGGCCCGGGTTGCGGCTGGATCCCCAGTGTGGGGCGTGCAGGAGGCAGCCGGTCCATGATTCTCCATCACTGATGTTTCTCTCTCCCTCCCTCTCCCTTCCTCTGAAATCAATATATACACACACACACACGTACATATACATATACACACAAATACACACGTGTACGCATACATATACACACATGCGCGTACACACACACATACACGCGTACACATACATATACATACACATGTGCACACACACATATACGCATACATACATGTATACACGCGCGCACACATATACACATACACACGCGCGTACGCATACATATACATACACACATGCGCGCACATATACATACACACAAATATGTACACACACATATACGCACACATACATGCATACACACGCGCGTACATATACACACATACATACATGTACACACACGCGCGCGCATATACACACACGCATACATACATGTATGTATACACACGCGCGCGCATATACATATATGTATATAAAAACGGGGGAAGAGCCCCAGGTGTGTGAGGGACCCACCAGGTGAGTAGCCCGGGAACACGAATCACAGTAGCACGTGACGTGTCCTGCCCACGTGGGGTTGTGGGGCAGAAGCTGAGGTCTCAGGCCACTGGCTCCCCGCCCGTCGGGCCGCTGTCCCCTCCTGGGCCCATTGCTAGAGACCGAACTCTATGCCCCCAAGTCCAGGGGTCGGAGCCCTAAGCCCAACGCGATGGCGCCAGGAGGTGGGGCCTCCAGGGGCGGTCAGGTTCAGGTTCAGGTTGGGGTGAGGGGGAGTGTGGGGGGTGCGGGGGGCTCCTGGGAGCAAAACC